CAGCACAGTGCCTGCCTGGCAAGCTCAAGGTCCTGAGTTCGATTCCCAGTACCAAAAAAAAAAAAAAGAAAAAAAAAGAAAGAATTAAAGGACAGATAACCCAGCTGAAAACAGGCAAAGGATTTGGACAGTTCTTACAAGAAGATACACAGGGGGACACATTTAAAAAGCATCTTTATGTAGAGAAAATGCAAATCAAAACCACAGTGAGGTACTGCCTCACAGCTAGGATACAATAAAAAGATGGATAACAATAAATGTTGGTGAGAACATGGAGAAACCAGAACCCTTGAATATTGCTGGGAGGAATGTAAAATGTTGCAGCTGATTTAAAAAATGGTGTGGTAGTTCCTTAAAAATAAATGCAGCATAGAATTATCATATGATCCCGCAGTCCTACTCTTTGCTATATACTCATTAAAACTGAAAATATAGCCATGCAAAATCTTGTACATGAGTACTCATAGCAGTGTTACACACGGTAGCTACAGTAAAAATGGAAACAAGTCCCTAAAGATGGTATTTCTGTGTAATGGAACATTATTCATTCCTAGAAAGGAATGAAGTACTGGTACGTGCTATAGTATGATAAACCTTGAAGACATTAAGCTACATGAAAGACACCAGATGCTGAGGGCCTGTATAGCATACGAATTCACTGATGTGATGTGTCTAGGACAGGCACATCCATAGAGACAGAAAGCACATTAGTGGTTGCCAGGGGCCCTTGGAGAGGCAGGAGAATGAAGAGTGTCAGCTAGTGGATTTCCTTTTGGGTGGTGAAAATGTCCCTTACATAGGGATGGTGGCCACACAACTTTGAAAATATACTAGAACCCACTGAATTATATACTTTAAAAAGAAGAAGTGCATAGAGACTCTGTTTTTTAAAGAGTACATACATAGGTGTATGTACACATGTCAGATAACTGGAAAAGGAAGGCTCACCTTCCCTTCTAGAAAAGGCAGGAAACAGCCGCCTTTTCTTTGATCATTCCAAAGATACAACATCAGGAAATCTTACCACCTTCATTTTGGGGACAGATAACCCAGCTTCTTATCCGGTGAGCTTTCTTTTCTCAAACTTTCTGGCTGGAAGAAATGATGACTCTAGTGAGGAGGAAAAAGATGGTGTTTCTGTTTGAATCTTTTTTTTGGTCTGTTTTGTTTTTTGAGACAGGGTCTCACTCTGTAGTTCAAGTTGGCTTTGAATTTACTGTGTGACAGCCTGGGCTGTCCCTGAACTTGCAGCAACCCTCCTGCCTCAGCCTCCCGAGTGCTGGGATTACAGGTGCATGCCACCACACCTGGCCACTGTGAGGTCAGTGTTTTATTCATCATGAGGCCCCAAATGTATTGCAAAGTAGCACTGTGGGCTGTTGTCTCTTTCCACACTTTCTTTATTGGTTTTGTGCTGTGCTGTGCTTTTCTCTGGCTGTGTTATGTTTTGGTTTTACTTTGTCACTTCCATGTTTTTATTTTCAGAGAGAAAACACTCACAGTGAGGCATAGTACAGGTCCACCGAGACCCGATAGTGGAGGATACATGCTATCTTAGTTGCTGTCTGGTTTTAGTGTTAAGAGGATGCTGGTCTCATGGTAGGAGGTGGGAAATACGCCTTCAGCTTTTATACTCTGAAAGAGATTGTAGAAAATTGATATCATCTCCTTTTTAAATGTTTGATAGAATTTTCCAGTGAACACATTTAGCCTTGTGATTCCTGTTTTGAAAGGGTTACGAATGATTGATTCACTTTCTTTAGTAGATACAGGCCTATTCAGGTTGTTTGTATAGGTCTGGAAAAACTACTTCATTAGGGTTCAGGCTGGGTCTTTGAATAAAGTGACACCGATTAACAGCAGGAAAGCACACATATTTATTTAGAAGCTTTACATGGCATAGGAACCCGAAGGAAATGAAGATTTGAAGAAGAATTATTCTGCCTTATGTACTGGATTGAACAACGAGTAGCTGTGAAGAAGCAGCTAGAAGGCTTAAACGATAAGGTGTATTTCAACAGTCTGTACAGAATTCTCTCAGCTTTGGCTTCTCATCCTTGAAGGGAAAGATATCACGTCTTTCAAGTATATATAAGGAGGGCCTTTTACTTGGGAATTTTATTTTCTGCTTTTAAGAAACAGTACAAAGGTCCAAGTGATCTTTCTGTATTTGCTGTTTTTCAAGATTGTATCTTTCAAGGAATTGGTTGGTTTGATGCAGGTTATGAAATTAGTGGGCATAGGATTGTTTATAGCATTCTCTTACTGCCCTTTTACTGTCTGTTGCATCTGTAGTGATGGCCCCTCTTCGTTTCTGATAGTCATAATTTGTATCTCTTTTCCTTTTTAGCCTAGCTAGAGATTTACTGATTGCATTGACCTTTTCAAAGAACTAGTTTTGGTTTCATTGATTTTTTTTTTCTCTTTTGGTTTCTTGTTTTCAATTTCACTTATTTTCTCTCTTGTTTTAATCATTTCTTTTCTTTTGCTTATCTGGTATGTACTTGGCCTTTCTCTTTTACTAGTTTCCTAAAGGAGAAAGTAAAGCAATTTTAGATCTTTCTTCTTTTCTAATATATGCATTCAGTACTATAAATTCACTTCTAAGCACTGCTTTCATTATGTCCACAATTTTGGTAAGTTGTGTTTTCATTTGGTTCAAAATATAATTTCCCTTGAGATTTCTTCTTTGACTTTGGTGTTATTTCTAAATATGTCACTTAATCACTACATATTTTGGGATTTTGCAGTTATGTTTATGTTACTGATTTCTAGTTTAATCCCATTATAGTCTGAGAGCAGACATTGTATGATTTCTGTTCTTTTAAATTAGTTAAGGTGTGTTTAATATGGTCTCTCTTGGTAAATGAGAAGAGCGTATTCTGTGCTTGAAGGAAGTAGTCTGTAGATGTCCATGATACCGGCTGATTGTGTTAATTTTCTGCCTTCTGAGTTTGTCCATTTCAGACAAGTGGCTTCAGGTATCCAACTACAATAGTGAATTCATCTGTTGGAATTGTAGTTCTGTCAATTTTTGTTTAACAAACTTTGATTTCTGTTATTAAATACATGCGCCTTTAGGACTGAAGGGATTCTGGAAGAATTCACCCCATACTGACTTACCTAACTGTGACAACTTTCCTTACTTTTAAGTCTGCCATGGTCTGAAACTACCATAGTTATTCCTGCTTTCTTTTGGTTAGTTTTAGCACATTATATTTACTTTTAACCTATATGTGTCATTATGTTTATTTAATTAAATTTAATTAATTAATTTATTATTTATTTGAGACAGGAT